CGAATATTTAAATCGAGCCGATTTCGAACACGAGCTATTTCGAACGAGCCGAACACGAGCCTAGCCTGATCTCGCTCAAGCTCGGCTCATTTAGAACCCTATGTTCAAGCACCTAGAAAAATTCAGAATATTCCCCTAAAAAAAATTAAAAATACTCTCTATGATTAAAACAACTGAACTCCAATAAAATATCATATGCATCTGCAAACCTTGCATACTTATGTCTGCAAGTACAACATTGAATCCAAGAATTCCGGCAAGGTGTGTGCTTCTACTGTACGTTCTGCGTCTTATCCCCAACTGAGCACTTCTACATTTCATAATATTATAAATAATAAATTATTTTTTTTAATTTTATTAAAATATATCTATTAAAATTAAAAGAGAATTCCTTAACTTACCACAATGAGTACGTACCCATCGATTGGATGAATACATGGTGTCAACATCTTTTCTATAATAGAAGAAATATGTTGTCAGTATCTTCTTATTTAAATATAGGCACTCTCATTTTTTGACAATTTTGTCTTAAAAGGGGAAATGGAGCCTGCGGCCCATCCAATCATGCATGTTGAGCGAGGAAGGGATCATGCAAGTTAATGCTATTTACATACATACCTCACAATTCTTATGTATTTACACTTGTAACCCCAAAACATTCATATTTACATGCATCATGCTTAATTTTCTAATATTATATTAAAAATAACGCCCTCACCAGTATTTAAAAAGTGAAATATTTATTATCATGCCGCGAGTTTATAATGTCAAGGTGTTAAAAGTGTAATATCAAGCATTGGGTGGTAGATACGTAAATACATAAGAATTGTGTGATAAGTATATCATTTTCACTAAAAATTATTGGAATTATAAATTAAGAAAATAAATTTATATTGTGTGCCATTGAACTTTGAAAGCCTTTCAAAATACTTGTAAGTTGAGAAATTAAATGATATGTTTCATATGATTCTTTGGATTATTTTAGATGATCTTTAATTATATTCATTAGATTATTTTAAACCAAAGGACTTTGGAGCAATTGAAACTCTTACGGCAAAATCACATTTTTATGTTCTTTTCTTATTCATATTAATAATCTTTAACCTCCTCCTAGCTACCAGACACCGTCCCCTATCCTCACGAGCACAACTACTTCCTTCAGGCATTCAAACAAAGCACGCAACTCTCCCCTTCTAGTTACAAAACCTAACTTCGAAGATTTATCCCCCTCCTACTCCCATTGACCGACGTCCCTCCTGCAAGTATTACAACACTGTGCTTCCTTTGGACAAGGACCACCTTCCATATCCATCTAGCCAGTTTAATGTGAAGTTTTTAATATGAGAGTATAAGGTGGTCGTTACAAGCAGATAGTTCTAGCAAAATTTAGAGTAAGTTTCTTCAATGTCTTGTATAGGATTAAGAGTTTACGTGGCCCCCAATGTATGATTTCATCAGTTAAGATTTATTATTGTTGAATTTAAATATGTCCTTTGGCTCGTGCCCAAGAGATAGAGCAGGAAATCCGAATGAAGGAGAAAAATAATGAGAAAAGGAGAAGGAGAGAGTTGCCCCGTGGGGGCAAAGAGGGGTGTTCTCAGGCTTTTTAGCCCCTTTTATTACACACAGCTTGAAGGTTACGAGTGGGGAGAGAATGAGAGATATATCCCTACGTAGGGGTAAGAGAGAATCCACGGACATTTATAGAAAAATATGAGGAGGGGGAAGTGATGTTACAAGAATATCTCTAATTTACAAGTCCAATGGTGGCATTTCGGTCCATATATTGAATCACCCTTCGCTCGCATCGAATGGTCGGCCCATGAAGGCTGCCCCGCTGGAGGTGGCCTCCACGGTGGCTGGTTGAACATACTCATGTGGTCGGTCGGCTAGAGTGGCCAACTGACTATTCCTTATGTGGTCGGCTAAGGCGGCCGGTCATATCTTCATATGGTCGGCTCTTCGTGGCCAGTTGGTGGTCCATCAAGTGGTCGGCCATGGTGGCAGACCAGTTGAGTTGTTTGACCTAAGTGGCGACCAGTGAGGTCAGCCAAGGTGTTTGGTCGAATGCTCCATATGGTCGGTCTTAGGTGGGCGGTCGAATGCTCCCGTGGTTGGCCATAACGAGTCGAATGGTGGAGACCGGCCTAAGCTAGCCGACTGAGTGCTCTTGGTGGTTGACCCAAGTTGACGGCTGGTTGGGGGTCCGTGGATGGCCCTGGGTGGTCGGTCGAACGATTGCTTGATTGTTCCAACTGATCCATGACTGCTAGCGCATCTTCGGCGGCGGAGACTCTTCTGTCTCGACGAGGGCTATTTTTTGGCTACACATTTATGCACTCTTATTAACTTCTATGTTGAATTAATATTAAGTTTTTGTGTAGATAATTATATATTATTGTTGAATCCAAAACCATCCGAGAGACACGTCTAAGAAATATAGCACTAAGGGAAGAGAGAGAGAGAGAGAGAGAGAGAGAGAGCAATACATTTGTGTAACCTTTATTCAAGAAATGAGACCCCTATTTATAGAAATGGGTCATTGTACGATTACACGATGTGCTCATAAATTGCGTAGGTACAGTGGTGTTATTTTAGTCTATACATAAATATGGCCCGTGGGGCTACAAATATACGTCTAGGAGGAGTCGGGCGACCACTAGGCTCGGCGGCTATGAGGTCGGGGTGGCCAATGGATTAAGCAGTAGTTTAATTGAGCGACTACTAGGTCGGGCGGCTACTAGGTCGGACGGCTCTTAGGCCAGGCGGCACGCTAGGATTGGTGCTAGCTACTCTGGAATTGACTATTGGTTTTGTCCATTTGGTCTGTCCTGGATGGAAGGCACTAGATTCATCTACACGAGCCTTGTTAGGTAGACTCTGTAGGAACTGATCTCTTCTTATTTCTCTTAAAGCTTTATCCTCCTCGTATATGAGATTCGATTGGTTAGGCGCACGATTCTGAAGGGTCTTTGGAGAGCTCCAGGACGCCACCTCATTTTTGTGATTGACAGATAGATGTCCATAAGATTCATACTCACACATTTTTAATTCACAATTGCACTATTTGTTCAAGTGTCCATCCAATTGATGTTCAACTAAAAATAACTTTGCACATTCATTTCTTTGAAAATAAGACAAAGGCTTTGAGATCATGTAAATGTTTCTTATGCTGATAATGACAGAAATTGGGCGAGAAGTCCTGAAAAAAATATTTCATCTATATTCTTTTGTCATTGAGATTCTTTTTTCTTTTTTGTAACATGAAAAAATTTATCATTATGACACTTTTTGTAATAATTTCTTAAAAGAAAATAGGATTTGGTAACTCTTGAATCTGAATTTATCCGTGAATCACACCCAAGAATTAGAGTGTAAAACATAAAGAGAGAGACATATAACATTAATTTGGAAAAATATTGTAATATTTAGAAAATTATCCCTTATTAACAGAGAGGAGATTGTTGGTTCACATATTGTCTTTTATGAACACATCTCGAGAGTTAGGACCCAGTGAATGAGAGAGAAATAGAAAGAGTAATAAAGTGAACCAAGAGTTATTGTTGAGAGGACCAAGGAATTAAAGTTATTTATAGGAGTGTATTTTGTACAATTATAAAAGGGAGGAAAATTTTCTTAATATGATTAATGCTTTAATAAATTGTATGGATTTCATTTCATGTATGTATTACAATTTGAATTTTGATATGACGTCAACTGGTTGATCAACTCGTCAGAATTCAACCCATTGATGTTATTTACTGGGCGGTGACCGTGCCTTGTGTTTGGTCAAATAATGATTTTTCCGCCGTGTCGAAAGCGTGTCAACAGTTAATCGCTACTAGGAGTTCCTGCATGTGCTTCGGTCGGCCGGACCGTAGGTGTGGCCTGTCGTCCAAGTCTCTCACCACTTTGTGTCGGTCGATTCTTTGATCATGTGGTTAGTTGTGGAATAATAGGATCTTTTCATCGTCTGGACGTTTTCTGGATCATTTGATTGCTTTGATATTTGCACTGACAGTTGTTGTGTATACAGAGTTGCAATGTGTAAAGTTACATGTATTTACGTTAGTGGGGAATTCTCTAGGGTATTATAATTATTTTATATATGTGGGCGCACAGTTTGACTGATCTAAGACTATGCTAGTTGGACTGGCGGGCCTTTGGTAGGCACTGCGAGTTGGCTAAGCATGGTGAATATTGTCGAGTGGCTTAGTTAGTGAGGCATGCCGGTCGATCAGGTCCGATAGGCCGGGGGTCGACAAGATTGACTCATTCGACTAAGTCATGTTGATCAGTTAAGCAGGTCTAGTCATCAACCACTAATTTCTGATAAGGTGCTCTTGTCAACAGAGCAAAGCTAGGCTTTTGGACAGACAACAAATTACGACCATAATCTGATAGATACCCTCCATTAGATGAAGAGGTCCCGAGGGATGGTTGAAACTCGTCTAAGTAATTCTTGATGAAGTTCAGGGAGACAGGTGGATACTTCCGTAGAACTATAGGACCCAAGGTGTTAGCTTCTCCCTTTATTTAGTTTCATTGTAAGTAATGACTTGGACCCTTCTGTACTTCGCTTCTGGTCGAACTGTCTGGAGATCAAATTGTTTGGTTGCCTTGATTAGTCTTGGTTTTGATACCTCCCATCTGACAATTGGGCATATGACTGCTCTATCAATGAGCTCTCCTTTGATATACCTCGTCCTGTCAGCACCGCCGGATCTAATCGATATTCATGATTTCACTTTTTCCATATACAGCAGTAGAAGTCGTGAGCTTATTTAAGAAATAAATGTTGCTATAATTGAAGCACAATTAAATGATTCAACAACCAATGGTTAATAAATTAAAATATTTACGATTTCACCGAATACAGCTAAGCCTACTAAATCAGGAATAGGGCTGGAAGCGGGCCCCCGCCCGCATTTAGCAACACCACCTCCAAATGAGTCAGTTCACGGGCCTGGTCTGAACCACTTAAATCCATGCGTAAATAGCTTAATCACCAAGCCTCATAAATACCCTCCAATAAAACATATATTCCTTCTTCTGCACCCCACAATACCCTTAATTTCAAAAACAACCAGGGCTAGTTTCGGAAACTCGCAGTTACATCTTAATTGCAGCTCGGTGCCCAGAAACCCAGCTCAGGTGGCGGTGCTCCGATACACCGGTAGAGCTCACCGTTCCTCAACCCAGCAACTGGCAAAACCTCAATACTCTTTACGAAGGCGCACTGTTTCCTGAGACCCACCGCGAAAATTTTGAAAAAACATCAGTTGCAGAAAGAGCGCGCGCGAGCGATAGGGAGAGAGCGCTTAGCGCGCAGCGAGGAACGGTTAAAAAGCTTTTCAGCGTTGTCTTCTTCTTCCTCAGCTTTTAATCTTGTTCTGACAGCCAACGGGGGGACAGTGTTCGCTGTTTTCCGTCCTTTCGTTTTCCCATCCATAACCTTTCCAAGCAATGGACTTCAACCGGCAGAGATCACTAGTGGCGGAACACGGTACCCCGGAAGCATCATCTGCTCAACCACCGCCGCCGCCGCCGCCGCAAAAACCAGCCGACGTGCCATTCCGCCCGAGCATTGCCGTCATAGTGGTGGTTCTCACCACCATGTTCTCCCTCACATTTCTTCTCCTTCTCTACGCCAAGCACTGTCGACGGCAAGCTGCCGCGACGGCGCCCCCCCCCCCCCCCGCCGCAACTGGAGGCGGCGGAGTAGCGGCTCTCGGCAGGACGGCGGAGGATCGGACTTCAGGGGTCGAGCGCGCGGTGGTGGAGTCTTTGCCGCTTTTCCGGTTCGCCTCCTTGATGGGGGAGAAGGATGGGATCGAGTGCGCGGTCTGCTTGAGCCGGTTTGAAGCGGAGGCGCTACTCCGGCTTCTTCCTAAATGTCGCCATGCTTTCCACATAGACTGTGTTGACGCCTGGCTTGACTCTCACTCTACCTGCCCGCTCTGCCGCTCGCGCGTTCACCCCGAGGACGTGCTCCTCCTACTACGGCCCGATCCCCCTCTGCCGCCGTTGGTAACGGCGGCGCCACCTTCGCGGAGAATCTCCGGCAGGCATTCTTCGGCGGGAGAGAAGGCGAGCGGCTGCGCCATTGCCGTATTAGTGGACAGGCAGAGAAAAGACGGGCTTTTGCTACCGGAGGTGGAGGGGGTCGGTGGGCAGTATAGTCACCGGGTAGTGTTTTCCGGAGGAGGATCGCGAGAGAGGTGGAGCGATCTCCGGCCGTCGGATCTGATGTTTTTGAGGTCGGAGACGACGATCACGGCGAGCGGAACTACGGCGGAGTTGGGTGGCGGCGTATTCCGAATTGGATTGAGGAATGAGCCGGACCTGACGAGTGTGAACCGGGTCAGCCGAACCGGGGGGGCTGAGGAGCGGACGATGCGGAGGTGGGTTCGGATCGCCGGTAAACGGACGGCGGGATGGCTCGGAGGGGATGAGAATGGATGAATGATGAGAAATGACGGGAATGCCCTTGGTATCTATGGTTTTTTACTCGTGTGATTCCGAGTAACGGTGGTCACGTGAGTCGGATTAATCGGAGCAACGGGGCGGATGTCGGGCTTCTTGGTGCCTTGTGCGGGCGAGGATCTCGCAGCTTGTTGAGATTTGTGTTGCTCCTCAATCGAACGGTGGGGAGCGAAACCTCGCTGTGATTCGTTTCGGATTGCGGAAAAGGGATTGGATGATTAACTGCAGCAAATGGTGAATCGAAATGTTTTGATCAATGTGGCTTTTTTAATTTGGTTTTGAAGAAATGCTGAATTGTCTAAAATTAATTGGTAAATTTACAGACATACGAGATAATTGCTATGCATGCACCTACAATTTGTTATTTATATTTATAGTAACTTGGTACTAATAATGTGTATTTAATTTTAAAAAAAAATTAATGATTGTGATATTTGAATGTTATGGATGTAGATATCATGTGTTAGCTGTTGGATTTGTAAATATATAAAAATTATGAGGAATGAGTGTAAATGAGCCAAATAATTTTTGGTCTCTTTGTGAACTTACTATTTTCTAAATTTGAATAATTGACATATCTGTAAGAGACAAATGAAGGACGCACGACAACATTTAATTTTATTAAAAAAAATATATATTTTTTAACTTTCAAAACGATGCTAATATATTGCCAAAATGATTGTCATACAGTTTATTAGATTGATATGTTTATGGTTTCTCAACCTCGTCATATGCAAGTCTTTTACAGGCAAGAGATTGCAATTTGCATGGATGTTGTGATTAATGCAATTAATTTTTCTTTGGTCATAACCACACACATTTGTTATTATGTAAATCATCCTTCGTATTGCTAACTTTTAATAATTGTGTTTGTTGAATCCTAAATTGTTCTTTGTGACCAAATCATCTAAGAGACTCTATCTTATCTTGTCCACCACTCGAGCTATACCAACCCTATCATAGATATATTCATTTCATATTTTTTCTATAAGTGTCAAACCACTCATCCCCCTAAGCATTCTCATATCGAAAACACTTAACTTTGTTTTATGCTTCTCTTTTAAATGCCCACGTTTTGTGCCATAAATTATTACAGGTCTCCCCCCATCTTATAAAATTTTCCTTTGTCTAACAGATACTTTTCTATCACATAATTGGGCCAATGCATTCCTCCACTTCAACCAACCAACATTAATTATACTAATAGCATCCTCTATCACCTTATATTTAAATAATAAACCCGAGAAATCTAAAGTGTTCACATATTTTAATGATTTGATCACTCATAGTCACAACGCTGTCACTATAGCTACTACTACAAAAAATTACATACAATGTATTAATTTTAGATTCACTCAAACGAAGGTCTTTAGACTCCAATGTACTAATTTAAGCCTTTCCCTATCCCTGCCATAAATTTAAGGCCATTAGATTCACCCAGCAGAAGGCATTTAGATTCGCTAATTTAAGTCATTCCTGAATTCTTTCTCTATTATTATATACCAGAATGATATCATCTGTGAAAAGCATACAATAAGGTATGTCCTCCAATAATTGTCCAATAGGGCATCGATGACTAAAGCAAAAAAGATATGTGCTTAAAGTCGAGCTCTAATGTAATCTAACTAAAATAGGAAAATACTTGGTCAATCCTCCTCCTATTCGAACACAAGAAAAATTAGATATAAAGATATTGCTAAAAAGTTAATTTACCTAAATAATAAATAATAAATGATTATATTTTATTCAATTTAATTAAAAATGAGTTATTTATAGTTAATTTAATAAATTACTAATTAATCATTATTTGGCATGCTATCTTATGTTAATTATAATTCTATTGTTTGATTACAATTGATATAAGGAAGATCAAAATTAATTCAATTGAAGCAAATTTATTTTTATGCGAATTAACCAACCGGAATTATCATTTAATTAGTTTATAAATTAATAATTAATGTTAATTAAGATATTATTTTATACTAACTAATGAATAGTAAAATGCTGATTAATGATTAATATAAGTCAAAAAATGAAAAATAAAATAAAATTGAATCAGCTTCAATGATCAACAATTAATATCAAAATTTTCTTTGAACTTCTAAATTTAAACTGAAATTATTATTAAATAATTTAATCGAAAATTTATCATGTAAAAGTTTATCTCCCATAAAATTTATTAAATATACTCAATTAAAAAATATTTTTAATTTGGCTGCAAGTATGATATAACTTATGTAAAATTTGAATTTAGTAAATTCTATAAATTCAAATTTAATAAATTTTACAAATTAAAATCTAGTAGATTATGAGGTTGTTATATATTTAAGGATATTTGGGAAATGTTAAATCCAATTAAATCCAATAAATTTTTTTTGATGATTTATTTCATTAAGTTAATTTAATTATTTTTAATTATGGTAATAATTAATTAAGCATTCATTACTAAAAATTTCTTAACTAAAGTTAATCAATTTATAGTTTAACCTAAGAAGTTGAATAGATCAATATTTTAATAATTAATTAATTATTGATTAGTCTTTTACTAGATTAATTAATTATTAATTAAAATTTTATTAAACTCATTTTCTTATCTTCATTAATTGATTGTCAATCAAAATTTATAGCAATTACGTATGAAATAATAAACTAAAATTTGATTATCAAAATAATGTATTTATTTATAATAAATTAAATGAATTAAAATTTATGTACATCATATTAAATTAACATAATAATAACTAACTGCTTACTGCTCCCACAACTTCTCCTTCAGCTTTCTGCAGATGTCGCCAATGTTTCCCTGTTAAAATATATCTTTATTCATTAGTTAATTATTAAATAATTTCATATAAAGTCATCTAATTTTAATTAAATTAATAATATATAAATTAATTATTAATTATTAACTATTAATCAATTAAATTTTAAAAAATTAACTTATACAATTATAAATTAAAACAATAAACCTTCCCCTTCTTCCGCCGGCGCTCCACCTCTTTCACGAACCCTCGCTTACGTTCCTCCTCCGCCCACACTTAACGAATTAACCGTCGCTTGCTGGGAAGGCAACGACGAGATCGCGGCTTACAGAGAACACCGAAACTCCCATCTTTCTCACCCTTCCGCTCCGCTCCTACCAGCCTTTTCGCTCCATTCTTTCTTTTTGTTCGTCCTGGATTTACTAAATCCGCTGATTCATAGGATTTTTTGGGAAAACGGAGCAGAAGGGGTATATAAAGTTGTCATTTTTGTTGTTTTTAGGATTTAGGTTAAATCCTGCTCAAATACTGCTACCAAACAACCCAAAAAATTGGAAAGATTGCTCCCTCTTAACTCTTATTCAAACCCTCACTCCCCGCATAAATAAAACATCTTCTTAGCTTTTCCTCAGCGACCATGGCTATGAGAGAAGACAATGAATGCGTGAGAGCCGCTATCTACTCTAATACCAATTCCACTTTTCCTTCCGTTATAAAAGATGGAGCCGTCTCGGGTGTTCTACCAGAGGCTGAGGTTGTCGCTGTGCACTACCCCGGCTATCCCTCTTCTGCTTCCCGCGCAATCGAAACATTAGGCGGCCTACAGAAAATCACCAAGGTATCGTAAGATTGATCTTTTATCCGCTCCTAATTTTCTCCCCTCTCGGTACGTGTATGCTAATTTATCATTTTGCTTATGTGCCGCTTCAGGCGTTTGGTTGTGCCCTCCAGAACCTCGACGGCACGCAAGATTCGGACAAGGCACCGCCCACCTCCTTTTTTATTTTCTCTATTCTCTATTTAACATTGCCAAAATTTCGAACTTGTTTTGATTTGCTTCAGGATCGAAGGAGGTTCCTAACGCTCAAGTTTAGACCCGAGGATCCTTACTGCCATCCTGCATTTGGCGAGCCCCGCCCTTCCACAAGTCTTCTTCTCAAGATTTCACGAACTCCGAACGTGAATGACTCTGCTTACGCTGGTGTTTCGCCAGAGCGTGCCGAACAACTTTCTGCAGATGTCGTTGCCAATGTTTCGCTGGCTTACCGTTTTGAAGGTAAAACCAAGAATCATGCACTATCTCTTACGTTTATTAAAGGGCCAGTTTTTATTGAACCTAGGCTGCTTCATCTTCGCATGCAATTCAAACTTCTAGCAGGTAAAAAAGTTCTTCAATTTTTCCTTTAAAATATTATGTTTACTACGTGCAGGTATGGCGGATTATCAACATGTGATTGCTGTCCATGCAGCGGAGTCAAGGAGAAAGAAAAGACCTTGGGTTTCTGATGATGAATTATTTTTAGGTGACGTGCTTCCAATCTTCATGGTCTTAATGATTGTTTCTAGGTTCTAATAATTATAGTTGATAATGGATTATTTTAAAGCTGATTACGAACTTTGTTGCACTCCCTATAGAGTGAATTAAGCTTTGATATTACTTGATCTTATTGAACTAGTGCTCAAACATGCTTGAATTGACTTATGCATGAATTAGATTGAAGAAGTTAAATGAAACCCTTATAAACGTTTGACTTGAGACAAAATATAGCCTAAACGTGCTTGAATTAAGATTTGCTGTCCAATTTCCTTTTCCTTTCTTTTTCTTGAAAGCATAGTTTTATAGTAATATAATGATATGAATATAACAAGTTTTTTTCTAAGAATTGTACAAAAGAACAAAAATTCCATGATGCAAAACATGAAATCAAAGGAAGAATCATCGAATCATGCAATAGAACAATAAAGGAGAAAATAGAATTCACCTATATCCGAGAATGCCATCGATTTAAAATGCTCAGCATAATGGTTAACAATATCTTAACTAATAGGAAGGGACGGGGGAATTTCCGTAATTGCTTAAGCAAACACTATCATCTTCCATGCAAATGATGTTGATATTATTTCTTTAGGGCTAGTGGGGGCAGTCTTGATAGCTTTTGGGGAAAGTCTTTTTGTTGAAAGTTGTGTGTAGGTTTGAACAAATGATGATGGGAAATCAACTATTGCAGTGATATGAATGGTTTGAATATTTGAATGTTCTTCTTGCACTTTAAATTTTTTTTATAGATTTTGGTGAGTCTTAAAGCAATTAGAGAGATAGTGCCCAAAGCTTTTGTAGAAAGAACATATTGGTAATACTTTCGTGAACCTTTTTTGTGCCAATTTTCACTAGGCTTTGAGGCAATTCATCACTCAATTTTCGTTGGTGAGGTAACTTCAATTTCAACAAAAATTTTAACAAAAAAAGGTTTTAAAATTCAACAAAAAATTAAAAAAAAAAAGGTTTTAAAATACAAGCAAATAACAACTTTCACTTGCAAAGATTTTTTAAAATCTATTTGATGGAGGATAAAATAGTTGGTTAAAGGAATGTAAATAAAGTTGATAAATAAGTGTGATAGGTGGCTTCATAGATGAATGAAATATGTTTTCATTAAAAAAATCACTAACAATATATCTATTTAGAGAAGAGTCTGGTGTAGTATGTTTCTATGTATAGTTTAATAATGATGTGTTGATGCTTTATAGTCTCAATTAAATAGTCATCGACTAATATAGGCTTGATTGGAATTGTAAATAACATCTATATTTAGACGACCTAAAGATAAGTTGCTTAGATATATCTTTAGAAAACAAGTGCACATGTTTGCCTTGATATGATGATGAAAGATTATGATTTAGTGGATTCTTGATGAAAATGACAAGAAAGTTGGATTGAAGGAGAGGGATGTAGTCTCGAGACTGATGACCCTCCCTTAACATTGGCAAAATAACTAATGTATGATCAGCAAGAGCTGTTGCATCTAATGAAATGTGAGCAGTCAAAGAAGTCTCTGAGGCAATAGGAGTAGGAGGTAATAATAGTGGTCTAAGGGGAGGAATCATAATGATCCAATGAGCGTTCATGAAAGTAAACATTGTGATAGAATTGCAACGAATGAGGGGGAGTTGATGAGTGTAGCCCAAAAGTGAAATGAGTAACAACAATTAGATCGGGGGGAAGAAAGCCTCTTAGATTGAAAAATAATCGTCAATGAGTGAGTACGTGATGGTGTTGAGACTCATGAGCTTGTGAGTGCATCGGGGGGGAGGGGGGTAGAAAATAAGAGCTTGGCAATTCAGTTATGTGCCTTCATTTGTTTTACTCTCAATGCTTATTCTATATGTGCCTTCATTTGCATCTTGGCTCTTGATTAAGAGAGGAGAACATGTCATGGTAATGGAAGGGACTTAAATCTAGGACCTAGTTATTTGGCTTGCAATTTTGACGCTTACATGATCTAGGTCATGTATTGTTTGGGATTTTGTAGGGCCGGGCCAATGTTTCTGCTAACACTCAAGCACCTTGGCCATTTCCTAAAGATTGTTCGCTTCGACCAATGGTCTGATTATTCTCTCAGGTCAACATTTAGATTTCATTTTTCTCGAAACCAACCAAACCTTCACACAAATTTTTTTAGGGGATGATTTTGACTGTATGAGGATCAATCCTAGTTTATAATCCCGAGAGAATGTCTATTTTATTGTCCTATAAGAGGCTTTGGCCAAGAAAGCTTCGAATTGTGTCGTGACCTTTTACGAACAAAAGCATGTGAACATGTTACTTAAGTGACACTTTAATTTTATTTTTTTATTGTCCATTAAAAAAAAGAGCAACATTTTGGTACCTAAACATTCTGCCTCATGAAGTATGCCTTTCAAAATATTTTAAATTATTCATTGGGCATTGAACCAGGTTTTGATTTTTTTTTTGGTAGCCGAGCGAGGCATGTGTTAGCTTGGTGAGCGCTTTGATCATTGGAAACCAAATGTGAAAATCAAGTTATGTCTAAGCTTTTCTTATATTATTTCCTCTCAATGTTTATTCTATAGATGTCATCATTTGCATCTTGGCTCTTGATTAAGAGAGGAGAGCATGTCAGGGTAATGGAAGGGACTTAAAGCTAGGACCTAGTTAGTTGGCTTGCAGTTTTGGCACTCACATGATCCGACTCATGCTTTGTTTGGGATTTTGTGGGTTGGTCCAATGTTTCTGTTAACGCTCAAGCACCTTGGCCATTTCCTAAAGATTGTTCACTTAGACCAATGATTTGAATGTTCTTTCTGGGCAACATTTTGATTTTGTTTTTCTCGTAAACAACCAAACCTTCACACAAAATTTTTTTAAGGAGATGATTTTGACCGTATTTGGATCAATCCTAGTTTATAATCCCAAGAGAATGTTTATTTTATTGTCCTAGAGAGGCTTTGGCCAGAAAAGCTTCAAACTCTGTTGTGACCTTTCACGAACAAAAGCGTGTGAACATGTTGCTTAAGTGGTGATTTTTAATTTTTTTAATGGCCATTAAAAGAATGGATCAACTTTTTGGTACTTGCCTCATGAAGTATGACTTCTAAAGTATTTTAAAATTTTCATTAGCCATTGAATCAGATTTTGATTTGGTTTCCATAATATCAAACTAATGCTTGAACTTTTTCATATTGAGTTAACCAACTTTTGAACTAACTCAATGGAATCAAGCACATGCTTTCTTAAACTTACAGATCTAGCGCTCAAATAATCTTGAATAAATCAAATCCACCATCAATAGTCTTCTACCCCTTTGTTTTTCTTCTTGAGTATTTATTATAGCTATGCTAATTATATTTGAGATTTAATGAGGAGAATTTGATTAAAGAATCTCTTTGTTTAGATGCAACACTAAGTTCAGTTACATAAGAGAATCACCTCACAAAGTAGTATCACCAAGACTATATGTGTGACATTGTTGCTGAGCATGTGAGTTTTACAATAGGAGTATATTCTTTTTTTATGGAGGATGAAATGATTCCACTTGGTCTTATTCCAATTTCCACATTATCTTTAATAGGAATGATAAGTGAGACATTATATAGCTTGAAAGTTATCGTTGAGTTAGTAATCATTGTCCATCAAGCTGTGAAAGCATAGTGAGATCTTGTATAAATTACAAATAGAAGCATCAATCAATGATAGCTAGCTATGTTATCTTGATTAGCGCTTATTACTTGAGGATTAACATCTTAGGTATGGCTGCTCGTTAGTTATTTATGATAGCATAGGTTGGGCTATTATCAAATTTGAATAGTCGAATGATCATTGAGTGGTTGAAGAATGTATTCTAATTAAAACATTGCTTGTCCTTGTGTCAAGAGTTTCTTGACTGACAACTTTTGATATTGATAGTCATTATGAGTGGTTCATAATGTTTTGGGTCTTGAGGGTTGTTATTTATTTTTATTTACAAAAATATCAAGGCTTCCATTTTTGGTATTTATTCATAATGTTTTGGGTCTTGAGTTTATTTTGAATTTTTAATGACCTCCATGCTCCACTTTATCATGCATTATTTATTTTTGAGCAAAAGAAAATACCTATATTTTATTTGAGATTTATGGTCCTTTTTGCAAACGAATCGAAGAAGTTCCTTTTTAATTTTTCCCGTTAATTGGACTTGCAAAAGAATGAATAATTACCATTATTAGGATCACAACCTCTAAAGTCTTTCTCCATGCTCGCTAAACAGTTGCGTTGACAATGTTAGCGAAGGCCCAATGTGATTGACTGGTGTAGGAGCCTAAGTATGTTTCATGTTGTGGCAAAGAGAGTTTGGGCCTATTCCATAAATCCATTATCTCACGTTCTTTCAATGAGCTGTGTGCGATCATCACTATTAATTATATTTAAGGGTCTAGTTCATGTAAGTTTTTCTTAAGCAGTCCCTTTGTAAAATTTTATTGAACAGTTTTCATTTTTGATATGATGCTTATATTTGCATGTTCTTTATTACTCTATAGATGTTATAGAAAGAGCTTTGGAAGTATGATGAAATTTCTTAATTTTCAAGTTCCGCCTTTCTGAATTCCAACAATCAACCACGAAGTTTCAAACTATGATAGTCTTTTTTTTATGTTATAGGTTTTCACTTTAGGTTTTTGAGAATTCTCTTTGATTGTCTTAGTAATTGATCTCAAATTTTCTAGAGTCCTCATTAGCAGTGTCAATTATTAGTTTCGAACCTTTAAGTACGTTCTTTAACAATCAACGAGTCAATTTTCGATTTCCATAGGTAAATCTTGATTGTCCCAATATTTGATTTCATAACTTTGGGAGTCCTTGCCCGTGCTTCATAAATTCTCATCTTGTTCTTTGATCCTGGCAATGCTCATATGACTCAAGACAAATTTCTTATCCTTATATAATTACTAACTTGAGCATCATAATTACTTTTATGAGGGAAAACCTTTTGGTTTGGTGTTGAACTCTTGTTTCTTGAATGTTAATGCCCCTGAATTATGATGCTAATAATGATACCGTTTCATTAAACTTGCAGATGATGAAGGTAATGTGGACATGGATAATGAGGATGTCATGAAGTTGGTGCCACCTCTCTTTGCTCGCAAGGACAAACCAGAAATGATTGTGTAAGATTATATTTATTTATTTTTACAAACAATGCTACTTGTTTCGATTTATTCTATACTAGTTAAACTGCATTGAGTTGGATTATGATTTTTATTTAAAATATTATTCAAAAACTATTGGCTGTCTGTGACTATGTTTTCTTGAATCACTTTTGCCAGGAGTGGCTATAAACCTTCCCGCATCATCAAAATTGCTTTAGGTGCTTGGGTTATAGTTTACATTTCATGACACTTTTAAGTCCTTACAATTTTTTTTGAGCAATTATATTATTTCTATACGCGACAGGTTTCCTTGTTTGATAATTACTAATGTATTCCTTGTTGCAAAAATTGAGAACAAGCTTGTAAAAAGCTTAGTTTTTAAGGTTATAATTATAAAAATTAACCTTTTAAATTTGAAATAGGCTTTAACTTGATAACCCATCTCAAACCAATATCTACTTGTATCTACAGCTATATATTGTTTTTGTATGAAGTAAATACTAGATGCTCATTTTTGTTAGATTGTGTATATAATCACTATATATATTTCATGATTAGGATATAATTGAGCTGCGACTAACTTTTACAGATGATTAACTTGGCTTCTTAATTAAGTTAATGCAATTGCAAGCTGTAAAATTACATTATTATAATGTGTACATTTTGATGGACAATTTCGTTAAAGACAATTAATTTTCATGGCTAACAAATTATTTTTGTTATGTCCCCTTAGGATTGAACTAAGTTGATAAATTTTTAAATTTCAATCTTCTTTTAATATATTGGCTATTAACATATTCTCAGAAATATTAATAGAGCAAATCTTTTCTATAATTTTTTTCTCTGAATTTTGAAAGAATACCTTGAAATGTTGATGCAACAAATTTCTTTATAAATTTTTAATGAATTTAGAAATTAATAAACCTGGAATAAAATACAAAGTCAATGCTTGTTTTGATTATCTTTCATAAGAATAATATTAAACATTTAATTAAAAATTGTTTTTTCATAATTTTCATTTGATTTTTCAACGCTATTTAATGTGGTTGTTCATTTTAACCTTTAAATAAGCTCTCTATTTTTATTGAAAGTTCAGGTTTAGATTTAATTCTATGGTCAATTTTAGTTTCAATATCAAATTTTGCCTTTTAATCAAGTAGATTAAAGTTTGCAAACATGATCTAATAAAGGTGCATATTCACACTTAATCAACATTAGATATATACTATCATTGCAAATTATTTTCTACATTTACAACATCCTAAAATTTGTATTCAAGAAATACAAGCTTTTAAATAAGATTAGATTCAATTATGTTTTATTCATGTGTTGATGTATTAACCATAGGTTTAGTTAAGATTTTTTTGAATTTTCCTTAACAATTGACCCTGGAGCCATAATCTTTACAAGAAAATTGTTGTAATATTTCTCAAAATTTAAAACTATGTATAATGCTTCATTTGATGTCATTGTGAATTTTTTATTCATTCATAATTTCTTACTGAAGATAGTTAGTGAAATAAATAATGATAGCAAATTAATCCAAATACAAATAATGTTCAGCTTTAAAGCATGTAAATCTTTCATTTTTTTCAAACTCATCGTATGTATCTTATTTTAAATATTTAAATTAATCATTTAGTTGATCCCCATATTCATATATGTTAAATATTGATATTTAATCCTATGTTTCATGTCAACTCTAGATTACTTAATAACATCCCTTCTCTAAAAATGCTTTAATATATCTCATTAATTTTGATTTGACACACCAACTTTTTGAGAATCGGACATGCTATATTTTTTGTAGAACTCTTTAATTATTGACCCAATTTGAAAATGTTCTAATATCATACCTTCTATTGAATTTAATTATGTCTGTTTGAATAATTATCTTGCTGTTTAGAACCATAATCCACATTATTTCTTTTAAATCACATCATCAAATAAACTTTTTTGTGACCCAATTAATACAGCTTAAATTAAGTTAACGTGATAACACAACTGTAAATTTTAAATCCATTTTTTGCCGGTTTGTTTATGGTAATGATTTTCTAATGCTGCTAGAATAATGCAATAAATGATTGAATTATATAATATAATTTATGATTCAGAAATCACAAAGCACTAAATAAGCCAAAAAATTACGTTTTTTTTTAATGCTTCAATTAATACAAGAATTAAAATTCAAATGTTAATGTAATGATTGAATAAATTTGGAGAAATCAATAATAAAGAGAGCGACCAAAAATTCAATTAGTAGTTACAATTTAATCACCACCCAACTATGTCCAGTGTGAATAAATTAGGAATTCTAAGAAGTTAGGCCAAGTAAATAATACACTAAAGTGCAAAATTCAAGGCCTACGTGGCTGCACAAAAAAACGACACCCCAAAATTAGATAGGCACATTTGCTCGCATTTAAAATTATCATACATGCAACTTTTATACACAATATTGAAATTGAAAGTAAGATTTTTATATGCTGAAGTTAATTAAATTGTCTTAAATATCTATTTATAAAATTCTTATCCCTAGATAAAAAATTATGGTTAAAGATCAACCTAATTTAATTCCAAATAATCATTTAATTCAAAATTTAATTTAACTGAAACCCACAGTAATCGGATGTCAAATTAGCTGCATAAAATAAACAAAAGTTTTGTTAGAATCCCATGTAACGAAACAACAAATAGTGGTTATATAATTCCTCTGAAAAAGTAAGCAACAACTGCAAATAGTAAACGTTGGATGAGGTAACACTCCCGCAAGAATAGTACATATTAGTGCTTGAAACAATATCTTACAGGGAAGGCCTCTCATTGTTATGTTAGCAAAAAAGTCAGTCACACTTCTGAGATAGAGAGTTTCTACAATATGATGATAGATGCATGCTACAATCTTGCATCAATGATTGTATTCATTGTTCTTATCACTAGTATCTGAATGCCTCTTCAATTGTCATTTTCAATCCTTTTATTTTCTAAGGTTTTCATTGAAAGAAATTGTTAAATAAGCTACTTTAATATCTCTCATTACTCTCCAAATTCCAAGTGATATTTCTTTTTGGCCATGATCTTTTGTCTTCTATTTTTCTTATCATTTCATAATACCCATGTTTCTATTCATTGCACCCTTCTAAAATTTTGTGCCAAAATTCTTAATGCGACTATCATCTTATTCTATGTTAAGTATGGCTGAGTTATAAAATTAAAATTTGTTTCTCTAAACAATTTATCTTTAGTATTTGAGATTTTGCATATCTAAAGCTCCACCTGTTTCCTCAGGCAATTTATTTTTTTCCATTTTTTTTTTTCATTTGAGATATAAGTCCATAACTATTATGTGTTACGTGGTTAAATTTTGTTTTAGACTTGCTATTTAATTTCTCAAAAATGAATTTTCTTTTCATATGTAGAATGGAGTTTATCTTTGATTTGGTAACTTCACTTTGAAAGTAGCCAAGTGATCTTATCATATTAAAATATGTGCTTGACAATGCACGATCATTTATTGCAAACTCAACTATAACACTATTACTAATTGTATTACATTTTTGTATCCTATTATATACAAACCATAAATCCTCTCGTAGCAAATCTTCCTGGAAGCGTTATGTTTTTTCAAGTTACCAGCAATAATTTATTTATCTACCTTAGATATTTATTATAATATTCTATCAGTCTCTTTTTATTTAATTGCTTATACTGTCTTCTAATTCAGTATGAGAAGCATAAGCATTGGCAACTACCTGTTTTATTCACCATTTTCCAATATGTTTTAGCTGCAGAACTATGCCTTAGCTAAAGCTGATTGTGAGTATGATGCACTTTTTTCTTTTGCATGACACAAATTTAAGAAGAAAACTAATTTGTGATTGGATGGATGCACCAGAAACGATTGTTTCTCAGCTAGCTAGAATGATAAACATATAAATCATTTGGGAAATTTACATTTGTAGCATACAATTCTTATGTATTTACATATCTCACACCTAAATTTTCATATTTACATACACTGGCTTTTGTTTGATTATTAGGTTGAATACACCAACAAATTTACTATCAGAAAGTTTGCAAAAAGGAGCTGTTGAATACTCTTGGGAGGTAAGTTTTTTTTTTTGTCAGTTCAACGTTGTTTTATGCTTAAGTTGGTTGATGGTTAATTTTGTTTTTGTGAGTCCTGTCAATATGTCATTATTCTTCAAACTTTGGATGAGATAGCACTTTGTCACAACTTCCAGTATTTTTAATTAAATTGCATTATTAATTAATTTATTTATGCTATGATTATAATGATAATTTGTTTTAATAAACTATTGAAAATCTAACGTGAAGTCTGGAACTTTGTTATCATTTTGCAGACAAGAAAATCATAATGTCTAGTCATGATTCACTCTAAAAACTTAATCATCTCTTAGTTCGAAAAGCCAAAAAAAATTTAAAGTCTCTTTTTGTAAGAGTCATGATTTGCAGTGCTGGGTAAAGTTGTTGATATTCATCTCAAGATTAGAGATCATCTCCAAAAGTGTGTTTTTTGTTGGAGACATGGAGTAGGTGCTTGCATGGAGTTAGAATTTTCGCTGTGCTTTTTTTATGCATATCAAAATGATGATTTGATACATTTAAAAAAATTGCAAATTAAATGTGCTGATAAAAATGTTAGATCATAAAAAAAAGTTTTTTTTTTGCTGCCAAAGTTTTGATCAACAAGAGAGTACCTAAACCGGAAGTACTGTCATTAATTTGTTATTGATTAAGCAGGTAATGAACTTTTTGATACCTTCAAAGGGGCTTACTAAATTTAGCAAGAATAGGGGAAACAACTGGGCAGAACAGTGAATAACATGAATAACAATATAATGGCTAAACACCACTTGGGCACCAATCTAGGATACAGTTGCAGGGCTAGGTTTGGATGGACTGAAACCTCCCAAGAGAAAATAAACACAAGTCTAAAAGCCTCCCTTCCCAACCCACACAAAATAACCTCTATTTATAATCGTTGTATTCTTCTAATTACAAGTATGTCATCCTAAAATATAAAGACACAAATAACAAACTAAAATACATAAATCAAAATATGTAACCTAAAATAAAATTCTAGCTCCCGCGTTATTCTCCTAAGATTGACAAGATTCAATACTATTGAGCAATCTCAGAATCTAATTAGTAATGAACATTCAACTCTGAGACAAAGTGATGGAGTTACTCTAATCCCTGGGTAGGTCAAGTCCGGTGATTCAAGCATATGCTAACATTGTCTTTATTGAAATTGGATCAAGGAAATTTCAGCTCCATTTATGAAGCATCTCAATCCACTTGACATCAACTGCTTGAGAACTTTGACTAGTAGGCTCAGTTCTTATTGTAAGATATTCAACTTGTCTTATATCAAGGTCACAATACAGTGACTGAGCTTTCAAGCTTGGCTGTTGTCGAAATAATGAGGCCTGATCCATATGATCATTTGTATTAGTTTGATTGGATGTTTGAGAGAAGAAAAATCAAGATATGGTCTTGTTTGATCACTCTACAAATCCCTTCCAACACGGGAATCTTTACCATTGACCCTTCTGTCAACTGCATATTAAAATATTTTTTCACTATAAAAAAATGGTCTTTTCTGAGCATATACACGATTAGAGGCTGAAAAATAATCATCATCATACAAGTGCATCAACATGATTCCAACATCGAATTTCAAACCCATCGAAACTTGAGGGTTCTTGATAAAATGGATTTTCACCTCCTTAAGAATTTCATTTTCTTAATTCGTCTGATTTTCTTGGTGGAATGGGTTCTCTTTTTCCCCGCCTATCAAATCTTTTTCGGATTCATTTTGACATTCTCCAGGATCCCGTTGTTTAAGAACCACCAATCTTTCTTGTAAACAATGAATTTCTCGTTGTAGGTCTTCTAAGACTAACTCTTGGGATGGACATATGTTATTTCTTTTTGGCTGCATCCTGATTTTCTTTTGCTTGCTGTTTTGATGGGAGGTTGTAGAGGAAATGGAAGAAATGAGACTTTGGATGATCTGTGATTTGAGGCATCTTGCAAGAAGAATGTGGAAACACCGCAGGGTAGAACAAAAAGACAAAACTGGGACCAAATCCTTTGATATGGAATTCCTGCACACCTAACCACAAAACTCCGATTCTGGAATTCCTACACACAACTGCAAGGCTGCAAATAGATCTTGCAGCCACCTAAATCCATAAAACAAAGTCTGGACCGAAATCTAGAGGACAACAGTATGACTGAACTACTTTAAAACTGGATGAAGAAGACTTGATTCAGCCAGCGGTTGATGATAGATTTGAGAGAGAGAAGAAAGTACCACAAACGAAAATAGAGACAAAAGTTTGACCACAAATTTTGGGCAGCAAAAATTTGTCCTCCTATACCAAAATGATGCTGGCAAAGGAGGGTTACTGAATTCAACAAGAACAAGTGAAAGAATTGGAAAGATCAATGAATAACCTTAAGCACAAGATATGGCTAAATACCAACTGGGCGCTAATCCATGATATAACTGTAGAGTAAGGTTTAGATAGACCGAAACCTCCCAAGAGAAAACAAACACAAGCATAAATGTCTCCCTTCACAATCCACACAAAACAACCCCTGTTTATAAAGGCTAGACTATTCTAATTACAAGTATATCATTTTGGAACATAGAGACACAAATAACAAACTAAAACCTATAAACTAAAATAAAATTCTAACTCCCTCATCATTGTTGAGATGAATGTTGGGCCTAAATTTAGGCTCTATTTGGGATCACTTTCTATTTTGTGTTTTTTGTTTTTTTTTTAAATAAAAACAAACCCAAAAATAGTGTTTGTTTATTCAATTTTTTATTTTTTTTAATTTTGTTTTCAAAATATATAAAATTTTGTTTTTAAAATATATAAGGCTTGTTTTCAAAAGATCAAAAATACAAAAATTGGATTTTTTTATGTTTTAAAAACATGTTTTTTGGAGCATTTCCTGTGCGAGGCTTTGCCGATTGTAGCACGCCGGTCGTCGGCTGTCTTTGCCCGCCGCCCGCCGCCACCATCCGCCGCCACTGCCCGCCCACCTCCGACATGCAGCCCTCCTCCGCTGGCCACCCTCCAACGACTGTCAGTCGCTCGCCGACCTTCGCTGCTGGCCCTCGCTGCTAGCCGCTGTTAGCTGCTGACCTCTGCCAGCCGCCCCTGT